GTCTTGATCTAGCGTTTGATCTGCAAGATCAAGACCAAGACCAACCAGTGCCAGATTTACGCAAGACCAAAACCAAAACCAAGCACACAAAACTCTTACATCTCATTTTTCATAGATAATTATATAATCAAAACTTTTCTTTACCACTCTCCCCATAAATTATTAAATTATTAAAGTTAATAAAAAACTTTTCTCCGTCAACATCAAACAATACTCGTTTAAAAACTTTTTTAATCAATACTTTTTGGTAAATTTCTTAAAATAATATTAAAACTTATTTAAAGATTATTTATGTAGAAAGTGTCTCTGATAAAAAATATATTACAAAAGTCAGAAAAGACTTGATGGAGCCTTTGCAACAAGACTAAAACTAGTTGTTCGACTGCAAGACTAAATCCAAGAGTATTAGCCAATCAAATGAGGATTGTCTTGGTCTTACCTTTGCTGATCACTATTCTTCATTATACCTATTTTAGGCATGTGAGCTACATAATTGTACTTGAGATGTCATAGGCTTTTAAACAATATGTAAATATCTATAGAAATTTAAGGTTAAAATATAAATACCTGAATAAAAGAGCTTAGTCCACCTCTGCCCATAGCCTAGTAAATAATTATAACTATTATTTGAAAGATCGTTCGATAAGCCCGAAAGGCTAATAAATAAAGATAACCGCCGACACTCCTAAGTGAGACACAACAACATCATCATTTTTTCCCCGGGACTCTCAGAGAAAGAGAGAAAAAAAGAGGCGGCCTTTAAGTTGTTAGGAACTTAATTATTAGCGTTTTTATTGCAATATAAACCCGAGCGAACGGGTTTGCTATCGGCCGGAGATCTTTATACGCCGCCGGTTATTGAAACTGGTCGCGGCAAAAACTCCCCTAATTAGACCCGGTGGAGAGAGTGAGCGCCCACGAGACGCACCACGCAGTCCAGATTTTGTTTTTAACGGTGCATTTACATAGCGCTGACCGGCTCGGCTCAGCTCAATCGTGAGAACTTAAAGACTGTTCAACGATCATTCAACGTTACGTCATCAACATTTGTTAAATATGGGTTTTATAGTGTGTCGGAGATTAGTTCATATAGTTTCCTTGAGAGAAATGAGAGATTTCAATTTTTATCAATTAGAAGTGGAGATGAGCAACAAATGGCAAACTGCGATTCAATCGCAGCGATTTTAAAATTGTAATCGCAACCTGCGATTGGCTCTCATAGGAAACTGCGACTCCGATTTCTTCTATTTTCGTGTTTTAATTTAGGCAACCAATCTATACAAATATCTAAAATCCTTAAGTGACCGACATACTGATTAATCACGATCCTGCTCAAACCACTCAACGTAAGAAGCTCAATTTTGGCATACATGTTGATTCTAAGGTGTAGAGGTTCGATAAGAAGGGATTTTTCGAAATTCCAGTTCCAAGAGGGTGAAACCACCCCTCAAATATTACAATATTTTTTATTTAAAAAACGGTCAAGTTTCCGAAAAAACGCGTAAACACGTATATTTTATTTTGTTTTTTTACATATTTTAAGATTTTTTAAAAATATATACAGGGTGTTTTTTGGAAAACAGATTGACTTTAGGGTGTAGAGGTTCGATAAGAAGGGATTTTTCGAAACTCGAATTCTAAGGGGGTGAAACTATCCCTCAAATATTAAAATATTTTTTATTTAAAAACCGGTGAGTTTTTCGGAAAACGCTAAACACGTATATTTTATTTTGTTGTTTTACATATTTTAAGATTTTTTATAAATTTATACAGGGTGTTTCATAAAATATGACCATTGAGTAATCACGATTCTGCTTAAACTGCTTGACGTTTAAAGCTGATTTTTGGCAAACGGATTGAATGTGGGGTGTAGAGGTTCGATAAGGAGGGGTTTCTCGAATCTCAAATCCCAAGAGGGTGAAAACGCCCCTCAAATATTACAATATTTGATATTTAAAAAACTGTTAGTCTTTCGAGAAAAAGCTTGGACAAGCATAATTTATTTGTTTTTTTTTATCTATTTTGAAATTTTTTCAAAAATCATACAGGGTATTCCAAAAAGTTATATATATATATATATAGGTTTTTGGAGGAAGTAGCAAAGGAATTATCACGAACACAAAAAAATATTAAAATATATAAAATATATAAATTGATCTTGGATTTCATTCGTAGTTGATGTCTTGATTTGGTAGTACGTCTGTACAGGATGTCCCATTTTCGTGTGTTTTGCAGGGTTTCTCCTCTATGAGTCAAAATACAAAGATGCGGTTTTCACATTACGCTGTTACTTTTTTATGAAACTAAAGATGCTACATACAGATATGTCCTAGCTCTCTTACTTCCTAAAATACAGGGCGAATCTGAAATGATTGCATTTTTCGATCCCCTTTGTATTATAACTTATCGAAAAGGTGAAAACGGTCTTCCGTACAGTTTTTCAGGTAGAATGCAGTGACGTAACTATTTGTTCGTTGGAATCTGTCTTTTTTTAAATTGACTAAAACTTATATGTTTTTTTTAAATACGATATTTTGTATATTATTTTATTTTCCTTGTTACGAGCTTTCTAAAATACTTATTTTCATAAACGAGGTAAAAATGCATTATTTAACTTTATTACATAGTCGGCCGGTTTAAATTAGGTAATCAAAACAATCAACTAATTTATTCGACGTAAAATTTTGGTTATTGGCATGTTATTTAAAAGCAGCACAAGTTCAGTTTCCGTGTAGTTTATCAAAATATCACGATGCAAAGCAAAATTATCTGGCAAAATTAAGTTAAATCAAATAAGAGCCGTTTAGCAGTTTAGCAGTACCTAAATAAATAAATATAGAGTATATTATAATTTTCGAAAGCTCATAACAAGGCAAATAAAATAAAAAATAATATATAGAGTGTCCTGTTTAAAAAAAGAACATAAGTTTGAGTCATTTTTCGAAATAGACAGCTTCCAACGAAGAACCACTTTCGTCACTGCCATTCTACCTGAAAATGAGAGGGCGGTGGGTAATTACTCAATGGGTAGAACAAAACAAAATCAGGGTATCCGGTATATACCTGTACATTTAGATGAACAGTCTAATTTTATAAAAGGTATTTCCAACGACCGCATAGTAAATACCCGATATAATACCAGTAATGTCCGGAATACGAGTATATCTACAATATTTCTTATATATATTGTAGATATTATATATTGGTATATTTCTATTCCCGGTATTATACAGGGTATTTACTATTCGGTCGTCGGAAACTCCTTTTATTAAAATTAAAAAACATATATACCCAGATTTTATTTATCTACAAATTGGGTACTTACCCACCGCCCATCACTGACCCTTTTCACCTTTTCGATAAGTTATAAGATAATCGAGATACAAAGGTTATCGAAAAATGCAAAAAATTCTACTAATTAAAAAATAAAAAGTAAAAGAAAGTAATAAGAAATAACTTTGAACTAAGAAGGCTAGGATAAATACATATTTATCCTAGCCTTCTTAGTTCAAAGTTATTTCTTATTTCTTATGTAGCATATTTAGTTTCATAATAAGTAGAACAATGATGTGAAAACAGCATCTTTATATCTCTACTCATAAACCAGAAACCCCATAAAACACACACAAATGGGACATCCTGTACATCTAGTAATCGCCAGTCGATATAAAAATAATTCACACACAATAGTCTAAAAAATGGAAGTAAAGAAACAATATTGTCTTCATATTTGTGAAAAAATGCATGTCCATATTTATGTAACCGTAGCGACAAAAATAAAAAAATAGAAATAATGTGCATGATGCCTTTACAAAAATATCTGAAGAAATGGAGATTGGCATCATTAACGTTTAATTAGTATGTCATATTTCATGGTTTCGATATAAATTACATAATAAACTTTACTCTATTGTTGACTCGCCTTGTACATTCATACTGGTATACCTTGTTCATGATACTGAAATATTCGGATTTATTAAAAAAAAAAAATATTATTAAAATTCAATTTTTATTTTTGACACGACAAAGAATTGCAGTTTTATAAAATAAAAATTATGCCCCTTTCGGATTTTTTAAAAATCTTAGACGTTACTAGATATTTCGTATTAAACATGTAGCTGCTATATTAAAAATATTTTGTGGTGTGTTGTTGCATAATTGACTAATTTCCAAACATCGAATGGACGAAGGAAGGAAGCGAAGGGACGAAGGAACGCGAGGAAGTAACGCGAGGAAGTATGGCGAGGAAGGAGCGAAGTGTGAGTATGGGGCTTAACACTGTAAAAGCTAAAAGTGTTAATACCACAATATACTATGCGACAGATCTGCAAAAAATTGTCCAACATAACACAATTTTATACATACTTTATAAAATATGATATTAATATCATAAGTTAATAAAATTATATTCTTGTTCCGGTTGTTTTGGACTGACAAATTATATTGAACATGAAAATCAAATAGCAAATGGAGATAGCATCGATTTGAATTACACCGACTCCAAACTTTCCAAAATATAATTTTATAATTGCACAAGACCATGGCATCGCCCATATCGAGATATTTTTTCCAGTACTGGCGTAGTATAAAAATATAGTTGCAGTTAACTTCTCCTTTTCTAGACCTTAATTAATTCTATGGCACCCGTTCCAGCAGTCGCTTTTAATTAAGGTTCACTTAACACCTCGGCGCGCTTTTTTCCCAACAAAGGACATTTGCATGACATTATACAGGGTCCGCGGTTAACGTAGCGCAACTGGCGAGTAGATATTTATTTTATTCAATTAGGAAATCGAGTACCAGGAGTGGAATTAAAAATGGAAATGCACAGTCCTGGCTACTTTCCTCTCTTAAAGGACGTTAGATGTTTTATGGCTTTTTATTTTAGATGAATTTTCTGCCAAGTACTATTTAATTTTGGTTTATTAAAATTAGTCTACATATCTAATTTAAGTAGTAGTTTAAAAATAATTTACTGATATGTATTTTTTTTGTTTCAGTGTTGGGGCTAGTCCGGGTAGCAGTATACTATTAAGCAGGGAATTGCACCCTGCTTATAGACTGCCCCCTCATATGGAGTATCTCTATTCTCTTCAACATTCCACAGCTAACTCTATCCATGGTAAGTAACTGTTATCAAATTACAGAATGTGACAGGAATTTTTTTGGAAACAGTTGGCTTCTGTCAGTTTTTAAGTTATTTTTTTACGTTATAAAGTTGACTGATTAAAAAATACGTACTTATCTCGTCGATTGAAAGAATTGGGAAGACAAGATACGCAACCTAATGGGCGAATTCGTTACAAGGCTGATTTGATTTTCCCTTGCGTTTCAAGTGATGTACGGTGGAGCCTATGCGGACAACGCATTTTCTCTAATTCGGCTAGAGAAGGCATATCGAAGACGGTGTGGAACTAAAAGCGACAGTGTTCCTTTATTAAAATGTGTAATATCTGTAATAAGTTTTGACGAAAATATCTTTGGATGAAGAGTCCGCGTTTATAATATTGAAAATGTATTCGTGTTAAACATAATAGAATAAATTACACAAATAAAAATTAATTTATAGGTAAGTACTGAATATTTCGTATGATCGAAAAAAGTCGTTTAGTTGGCTTGGAAATGACGACTATTGACATTTATCATAATATTTTATATATTATGAAGTAACAGCGATATTAATTTCCAAGCCAACTCTGACGCCGTTCTTTGTTTAATCATGTAATATTATATAAAACTGTTTAATGATAGAAATTCCGTATTATAACGTACTGTGTCCAAAATCAGTAAATCTACAGATTAATCAGTAGTAGTTCTGGCAACACTGTCGCCGGCAGCCACTCACTCTGTCGACTGAAAGAACTACGGTCTGCTTTCTAAAAATAAAAATATTTTTTATTGTGATTACCTCGGATGCGCCCGACAGAAGCAATATTTTGCGAAATTTGAAGAGAATAGGTTATGGAAATCAAACACTAAATTTGTAAATAGCCCTACTTAGTTTTATAGGAATTCAGAAGTAAAAGAGCACAGCAGAGAAAACCTTGATCACTATTCCAAAGAATCCAACTATGCTGTTCTGAACTTTAATAAAAGAGAAACAATAATAATACAAGTACTGTCTTCATACCAAGGTTTTAGGTTTAAACACACTTAAAACATTCATAACTGAAGAGTTTTTGTTAGTTAGCAGGTCCCCACCTGCTGGTACTGAGGTCCCTGTATTCGGGAGGCTACTCAGCTAGATTTGATAGGTTTGGTGCCAATATCTTTGAACTATGAGTTATACCATTCTTTGGTTATGACTGCTCACTTGTTTGCTAAGATATTCGCCCAGGCACGGTTGGAAATTATTAGTACACGCAACAAGACCCTTAAGGTGTACGCGCACTGAATCGGTACCAGTCCGGCGAGAAACGGCGAAGGCGGTGACTCGACTATCATAGATAGGTAGAGGTAGGAATCTGGCCTCTACAGGCCGAAATGTTTTAGTGGACGCCGGCGCCGGCGCCGTCTATATGTACGATGGTCGCAGTCGCTTTTGCTGGTCGGTCCGATCCGATGCAGAGCGCGCGGAGCCCTATTGTCACACATAAGTCATACTGAACCAAAAAATCGGCACGAATGAACAGTAAGCGATCGTTTTTATATTTAATTTTAAACTAGAAATTATTCACAGTATAAATCGAATCCATTAAATATATATACACATGTTATATACTCGTATTATCTTTGTCAGATGAAATAAATAAGGAAAAACACTTTAGATCAGAATATTTCAACCGAAGAATAAAATATATGCTTTAGTTAACATTAGTTAAATAATGAGGAAACATTTAGTTTACCTTTAGTAACCTTCTTTATCACAGTCACCAAAATAACATCAATGCGTCTCGAATAGTAGTCTAAAAACTTTTACTTAACATCTATTATCATTGTTATTTGTCTGATTTCCCTCTCCCAAATTTGCGAATAATATTTTAAAAATTAATAATTTTATTTCTGTATACAGAGTGTCTTAAAAATGAATGTTTTGAATTTTTTAAAGAAATATGTTTATTTTTAAATAGGCGGTTCATCTCAAAGTATTTTAACAACTTTTATTAAACTTTCTTCATTTTTTATTCCCAGAATGTTAAACATTTTCCCCAGTTTTTTCTATCTTATTTAATCATATCTCGATCAGAGTCTATTAAATCTCTCTCCCTATCCACCGAAACAAAAATAATAGGCTTTCCGTTGTACAAGTGGACGACGACGACGACCTGTATCGTCCGCTGCGAGACACTCGAAAAAATCATCTAGACAATGCGTCGTTGTTGAACACGATCAGCATGCGGGCCGAGGATTATTTTTCCTCTCCGCACTTAAGGGGGGCAAGGGGGGCGCCGCGCCTTGGCACAAAAGATACTCGTTTCCTGTCAGGGGCGTCAAACGGGGGCCAATTATTCGTGCTGGGTATGTGTGCGCCCGTAAGCCACATAGCTTAGAACCTTTAGTATTAAGTTTAACACAGACGCACAAACACAAGCAAGCAGCCTTTGTTTTTCTTTCTCCATTCGATTTGTTCTATAGAATTTTGATCATATAGCAAAATGAACAACGCGATAACCAATGTTGGGCAACGTCGACAATAATTGAATTGTTGATGCGTCAGGTATGGTGCCGATGTCGACTTCCTAAGGGAGGTCGTCAATGTTGACTGCTAATAATTTGGTACAAAGTTTATATTTAGAGCAAAGCGTTATACAGGGCGAGTCTTAAATAAGTGCAAATATGTTGAAGGATAGTGTATTTCGACTCCAGAAACACGTCTATGAGGTTCTTTTTTTAATTTTCGTTCGATTTTCACTCTGCCGACTGAAAGCAGAACTACGGTCTGCTAATACGGTACCGTATTCTTTATCCGCTGCGCTGTAAACGACTATAAGCGCGCAGTGACGCAGAAAAAAATTGAAAATTTGGAAATTTCTTATATTTTTAATTAAAAAACGTAATATCTTTATAACATGGCAACATATGTAGTAGATTAAATGTACCAGAAAGAAAACCGAAGAAAAATCCAGTTCTCAAAATTTAAGCGAAAAATCAACAGTGTTTGGGAGAAGGGGGGAGGATTAATCACTCCTCTTCTAATGACAAACCTAACCTCAAACCCGTGCCTCTGGTATTCTCGGCATTGTCAGTATTTACTCCATAGTCGATGTCCTGTCGACGTGTCTTGGTCAACAATAGAATTAATCAACAATAGTCGTCGCTTGTACTTTTTCGATAAAGTGGTCGATCCATTATCAAAATAAAATAGAAACCGTTTGTTATAATTCTTGTGTTGATATATTTTATCAACCATACTTGACAGTGAGTAATTATTTCAGCAGTGTCAAACACTCTAAACGTATCGTTCAACACTTCAACCAAAAAGTTCTGTATAAGTACGGAGCTTTATCATTTGAAATGCTTCGAGCTCGTATAAAATCTAAATTAAAAGGGGTGATGACAGATATTTTAAAGTATTTGTTAGAAACAAATTTCTTCTAATATATAATTTCAGATGTTCTTTCAAAGCAAAACTATAATATTCTAACCTATTTAAAATAAACCATAAGTTTTTAAACAAACAACTAGTTCTCCAGAAATTTCTTATCTTGTAGTTTATCCACAAACATCTATTACTATAACTGTAGCTTTGGCTCGAGAATTCTCGAGAAATGTGTTTACTCGAATCGGGAAGAATAAAACTAAACACCTCTCAAATTATATCTTGTGTTAAAAATTTTTTTATAATTTTCTATATACAAGGTGAGTCTTAATTAAGACCAAATATTTTCAAGGCTGATAGATCTCGATAAAAGAAACTTATGAAATAAGTTTCATTTCATAAGTTAAAATGGTAAAGGGAAACCTTTACCATTTTTCAAATAAGTCCAAAATAACCTAGTTTTTTTTACTTTGGAAATTAAATTAATCTACTACCAATATTGTCATATTATCAAGAAACTGTGTTTTTAACTAAAAACTAAAAAAAAATCCAAAATTTTTTTCCAAAAATTTAAAATTTTCAAAATTATTTTTTCGCGAAAAAAAACTCATAATCGTGTTTCTGGGATCGAAATATACTACCGCTAAAAATATTTGCACTTATTTAAGACTCACCCTGTATATGTTGCCAGTAACTTTGTGGATTTAATTTTACTAATTATTTGATGTTTAATTAAATTCTTCTGTACAGGGATTCCGATTTTCGTGTGTTTTATGGGGTTTCTCGTTTATGAGTAGAGATGCAAAGATGTAGTTTTCACATCACTTTGGTACTTTTTTGTCCTAGCCGAGGTCCTAGCCCTCTTAGTTCCTGAAATACAGGGCGAATTTTAATTTTTTGCATTTTCCGACCACTTTCATATCTCGGTTATCGTATAACTTATCGAAAAGGTGAAAACTCCTAAGTCCTTTGACCTTGATACTGAGTCCCAACCAAAGGGACTAACACAAATCTGTGTATAGAGTTTTTAGTTTCATAAAAAATAGTACAGTGATGTGAAAACCTCATCTTTATATCTCTACTCATAAACGAGAAACCTGATAAGACACGCGATATTGGGACATCCTGTACAGAATATAGAAATTACATATTTTTAACCGTCTGAAAATATACCTATATTTTATTTTAAAAAGCAACGCGGAACTCCAAAACTTGTCATTTCATCACTTTCGATCTTCCTTCTCGATGTCAGGCAGGAATTAGCGCGTATATTAATATTTTGACAGAGAAAAATTTGTCAATCTATTTTGAAGCCGCGCGACATGCGCTTGTAAGCGGCTTATTCATCTTCTCGCTAAATAGAGACAACGAAAGAAACAGAAATCACGAGATAAAATTAGGCTCTTATTTCTATTTTTGACGTTCTTGTAAGTTACCATTAAAACGTAACATTTGAAAGCCATAATTACTGTTATTGGCTGTATATAAGTCTGTCCAAGAAGAAGATACCTGACAGTGACATTGTAACTCAAAGGTTAATTGTATTTTCTGTCATTTTTTAGTTGTCGTTTGTCGAAATATTTCTTGACTCGTTGGATAGACTATAGTTACGATCGTTTCTTTTTGTGTTTATTTATTTTTAT